ATCCCTCCTACAGCTAGATTTCTCTTTGGGCCATTAAAGCTCCCTTTGGAGATTGGCTACTGAAATCTACCATCCACTGCTCCACTAAACTAACCCTGCCAAAGAGCATGATTACACTGGGCAGAGCTGTCTTTAAATGCAGAGTCTTTTCTGTATAAACAAGGTAGAAGCAGACTGCCTCCAGATTATAGTAGAACAGTCTTGCTCTTGCTACAAACAAAAGACCTTTCACTTGAGTCATAACATCCTAACCAGAAAGGCATTATTTTAAAATATATATATAGAAAAGCCAGCCCAGCATGTTTTTTCCATGGTCGTCTTCTGAACATGACAAGCAGTCAAATGATGAGTAACTCAGCGGACGCACTGTCTCTGACTGTGATGTTTTAATGAATTGCATTGGCTTTCACAAGAGTAGCTTGTAGCCCCCTCTGGTGGTGTCATGCCAAGCAAGACAAAAATCTCCAAATTTAGAGTTGGTCCTCACTAGAGATGACTGTTCAGATATGTGACTGAAGAAATTAAAACAGAAGATGCCACTGAGCTACCAGGTTTTGGTCTTTCCCAGCATTTGGATGCAAGTTGCAGCCCCATCTTGAATGAAAGCAGTTGTCAAAAGAAGGGAATGGTGTAAAGTGCTTTCGGAAATTCACGTGAATCGCCCTGATACTAGGAGGACAAAACTGACATGCTGAACATTTAACCTGTTTTATGCAGGTCTAATAATTTGTTTTTACAACAGGATTTGGCACAGGGCCCACTCCCCAGCTCCTGGAAAATAGATCAGTTCCCCCAAAGGAGGCTAGTAGCATGAATAGTTAAATCATTGGCTGCATGCTGTTGGTTATTACTTGATTTGCAGTAGCCCCTTGAAAGCTCAACTGAGATTGGAGCCCCATTGTACAGCATAGTACAAACACATAGTGGGCAGCAGTCCCAGTTCCAAAGAGCTTACAGTCTACACAGTCAACACAGGCAGAGGGGGTGAAATAGGAAAGACATAGCATCTCCCAGGAGATCACTGGTGGCTAGGAACACAATGCCAGGGGCTCTTGCCTCTCACAGTAGCCCCATAGGCAGTAGATGCCAATAATAACATAGCCATGGTGTTGTTTCGTTATGGTTGTGGATGATCCAGTGTGGCATAGGAATATGTCAAGTGCATCAAGCCAGCATCTAGTTAATCTGCCAGCTCCTGTTGTTGCATGAGCCTCAGTCAGTATTTCTAGTAAGCTGGGCACCAAAACAAAAATTTCTCTAGTCTGAGTCCCACAGACTTTCATGCCCTGCCTACTCAGAAGAGGAGAGCAGACCAGAGAGTCAGTCCAATGTGGGTATGAGTGTCCACAAACCAAAACACAGCTGGTGGCTATAATTTTTTGTCTAGCTCATTTGACCATATCTCTTCACAGAAGAACATACTATTGGAAGAAGCCATCTTTCTATCAGTAAAGGTTAAAGAGCAGACAAGGCAACAATTATGGGTGGCTAATTAGTAAATGCCTTGAAAAGTATGCATAATTAGCTCATTAGTAAACATTTGAGAAACAATACAATTTATCTCCAGATCGAGGAAGCCTCTAGGAAATAGAAATATATAAATAATGTGATAGAGGGATATCAGCTCCCTTGTCCTTGAACAAATGAGGAGGTTCCTGCTATAACTTTGTAAAGAAGGGAAGTCATAGACAAAATGCTAATGAAGGCCTTTGGTTGCTGGTAGGTTTGGGGGCTGGACAGTCAGTCTTGGCTGAAGCTAAAGCACAGTACATAATGCTCTGCAGACAACATCAGCACCTTCAGACCCTGTGACCTATTCCACCATCCACTGCCAATCCTGCTGTCCTTCAATTTATTCATAATCCCAGTGTTGCTGGATGCATTTACTGAAACAATCAACTATGAATTGGTTAACAATGAGGGCACTTTCAGGCTCCAAAGTTAACACCTCATAGAAATGAGTGGGACAGTGGTCTGCTCTGAGTTATTTTGTAATGTGAATGTAACGTGTAACAGCAGGAGGAACCAGGGGGCAATCTGTGGAGCTGTGCTGACTGTTAGTTTGGACCACAACTCTCAGAAGTCCCCAGGGGCTGGAGGGCAGGGGGAAAAGGAAGAGGAAGCCTGAAGCTGGAGT